GACCCCTTTATGTTAAGGGTGTAACAGAACCATGTTTGGTTCAAACAGACTGATGAGAGAGTAGAAAATGAGGCTTTGGGAAATAAATTACTACAGAAAGAGGCAGTTGGTATGGTGTCATGACATTCAATTAGAATAATTATATTTTAATAGATATATGACTATATTAATACAAACATGGCAATTCCTTCAAATATTTTACAGCCTTCTGCTCCAGACTTGCGGATGTTCTTGTTCTTAAGGCCACAGACATAACTAGTTTCCCTGACTTATTGTAGATCACATAAAGTGGATAAAAGCAATGCAAGAAGAGAAGACAAGACTGTAATTGTTTGTGTGCTCTAATGTCAGGCCTTGTCCCTGACAGCAATGAACTTCAGAGTATTTTAAAAAAGTGTCATGGTTTTGTTGATTTTCTCTTTTCCCCTGTTGTGTGCATGAGAAGAAATGTAAAGGTTGTTGAGAAGGAGAATTAAAAAAAAAAAGTGCAGTAAATACTGCATGAAGAAGCTCATGGGAGAATTACTTATGCACTATCAATACAGTAGTAGCAAAAAAAAAAAAAGTAATGTTTGTAGGGGTTTTTTTCTTTTTCTTTTTTACAGGTTTCCCACCTGCATAATTCCTGAGACTGGAATAAAATCAATGAATCGTTAAATCTTCATGAATGAATCTAAAATACCCTATGTTACAGAATTTATCAGTCAACCTGGGCCTAGCTGTTAGTGAATGCAAACCTATAAAATTAAGATTTCAGATTATTAGTTTTGTTAGCAGAAACCATAAGGCTTAACTTCAGGTTATTCTGGATTAGCAAAAGCAAAAGGTTGTGGATCAAGCTGAGCTTTTAGACTTCCTACTCAGAGTTTATTACTCTACTTTGGAAATTCTGTGGGAAGACATGTCATGTTTAATGTTATTTTTCTAGATGATGCATGTATCCTGTACCAGCCAGCTACCTACTAGGCTTTAATCCTACTCTCTCTTTAAAGAAGGTGAAAAAAACCCTTACTCTTAATGAAACTTAAGCCTATTTAAACTTATAAAATTAAATTTAAAATATTTTGAATCCTAATGTCTGTACTGTTTGCTAGGTCTACCCAACAGCTGAAACTTGAGCCAATATACATGCAAAAGCTGGGAGCTGTGCACACTCTGGTGCAGATGTAGGTTGGAGGATGCTCTGGAGGGCCTGGGATCATCCAGAGACTGTTCAATTTGTGCATTGCTGCATCTCCTCTTGGTCCAGAGCCTATATATTTCAACTGAGGCACACTTAAGGTGTTGAGCAGATTAGGTGCTGGCTATGCCACATACACTTAAAGGCAATAATATTTTAGGTATGCAATTTAAGAGGTAGTATTAGAAATCTTAATACAAGCTTTTAGGACTCCTACTTAGTACACAGAAGTAACATGTAGCCAGGCCCCTGAACAGAGGTTTAAATTTGAAAAACAAATCTGAGTCTCCACTCACTTCTCTCTTTCCTTTGTCTGCAAATTATCTTCTGTGTGTTGTTGCTTCTTTAGGCTTAATTATTAAGCTGGTTTCACACCATATATTGTTGAGGTAGGCTTACTGTTCGGCTGTTAGCAGAAACTGAAAATCGTTGTTTTCTTGAAGAGGTTTATTTTGCAGTTTCATATTGGAATCAAATAAGTATCGGCCAGTTTGACAATTATGTTTCTCTTCTAGAGAAGGGAAGGATCAATTTTTGCACAAACACAAATTTTTAAGTTAAATACCAAGAAAGACTTTGTAGGGGGGGAACCCACACACAAAGATCTACCAGTATTTCAAGTTTGATTGGTTTAAATCAGAAATAGTAAATATGAATGTATGCAGCAAAAGTAAACACTTTTTTTTAACCATCTTCTTGCCATTATCTGCTGTCTTAAGTTTTAGTCTAAGCATAATACACAGCTATGTAACTGAAGAGTGAGCAAAAATTCATAGAGTTTTAGAAGATAAAAGTTTCTTTCATTGAAACAAGAGAACTATGCGATAGAAGTCAACTGTTGACAAGTTGTTTTCTCTACCTGTTCTCCTAGGTTTCCCTTGTCCACCTCCTAAAAACTGTGCGGTTGCTCCGCCTCTTGCGTCTCCTTCAGAAGTTGGATCGTTACTCCCAACACAGCACAATTGTTCTCACGCTTCTCATGTCCATGTTTGCCTTGCTTGCTCACTGGATGGCCTGCATTTGGTATGTCATTGGGAAAAGGGAGATGGAACAGAATAACCCCCTAACCTGGGACATAGGTAAGTTGTTCTTTACACCATATGCATATATATGTACACACGTGTGTGTGTATATGCAAATATATACATATAAATATATAGACATGTGTATAAGCCATTCAGTGATTCCTTTTTTTAATCTTGTACATTATTTAGTGCTGTTTGTAGACATAAATAATTACATGATTTCCATAATTTTTTATCAAGTAGGTTGGATATTGACTATAGGTATTTCTTGAAAGTTAATTGTCTAACAAGTAAAGGACAGAAAATGTCACTCACCATTTTTTTTACCCTGTACCAAGTGATGTAAATTCAATACAATTTTTGTATCTCAGGATTTTGACAATTTGGTCTGCTATACATTTAAAAATTGAGAAGTACATTTCTGAAAAGAAATGGGAATTCTCCTTTAATCTCTATATTCTGTGTGTTTGAGCTTTGACATAAGTATTTAATTTGCATAGTTCTAAATGAGTTATTTTAGGTGTGGAGAAGTGATGAGAGGTGGGAGACTTTTTTTTTTAGGGGTAATAATCACCACTGGCTGGTTAAAAGCTTTACTGAAGGAGTTACTCAAATTATACGTGAATAATGTGGTAACAATACTCAAAAAAAACCCTAAAAACCAACCTGTGGGCAATCACTAACTAAAGAGATTGGTGCTCAGAATTTCAGGTCAATCTGAAAAAGCTGATTAAAATGAAAAGAAAACAGAAAAAGTGGAAAACAGTGAGATTTTTAAGAGTACTTCACTGTTTGGGAAATTGAGGTCTTAGATAGGAAAGGGCTAGATAGACTATGCAGAAAAATAGATGAGAAAGCTCATCCTGTTTTTGTAAATTAGGCAAATTCTTCAACAGAGGCATTCCCTCAAGTGTGCTGGTTATTCCTTACTGTACATTGAGACAGATAGGCCTTGAAATGCCTTCAAATTAAAAACTCCCTTGGAAAATATTGTTTAGCTAGTTTTCAGGCTTTCCTCCTTTGCAGAGCAAACAAGGTGTTTATCAGTGGGGAGAAGGTTTTGGAATGCTCAATTTTGCTCCTATGTTTAGTTTCCATCCCAGTCTTCATTCTGGTTTAATTGAGCATTCCAGATTGACTCTAGATTTTAAGGCTTTTTTTTTTTTTTTTAAGTTCTATTAATATTTCTATGGGTTTATCCATGTGTGATAGTACAGTGGGGGAACACTAAACCTTGCACAGGAGCCTGGCATCACCAGGTACTTTTACAGTGTTTAAGGTGTGTCATTCACTAGTGCAACAGCTGATACTCCACATCTTCCCATGTGGGTCATTCTGGCTTTACTGTAGAGATGCATTTCTTTTGTTGTCTTGCTTAGATATCACATCAATATCAAGAATCTCTTTTTTTCCCTTTTCTTTCCAGTTCCTTGTCTTCTATCTTTTTAATTCTACTTGTATGTACCTTTAGCTTACATCTATTATGTATTGACTGAAGCAGGAGAGGAAACGAGGCTAGCAATAAAATTACCTTGAATGGGGAAGGCTTGCTAGTTTTCTTTATGCTGCTAAATACTAAAGAGATAATTAAAAAGCACATGAACAATTTGGAATACCTAAGTTATCTGTGAGAGGAAAAGAATGCACATGTCTTTCTCATAAACAAATATTATCTAATAGTAGGACAGTTTCCCAACAGAAAAAATATTTGGTGGGGGAAGTGATACAAACACCTGTGACCAAAGGCTCAATGATGTGCACTCAGACTGCCGTATGCCCTGTTCTTACCTCCTTTAATTTCTTTCTTCTCTCCTATCTCCATTATCATCTATCTAAATATCAACTACCAATGATAAATCTGAAGGAAAAATGACAAGTATATTAAAAGTGCCTGACCTCAGATAAGGTGAGGATGCTGGGCCAGGAAGAGGAAAAGAACGTGCAATATATATAACTCTCCAGTTTGCTCATAGGTTACTGAAAGCTTTGTGGAGTCTATTTTTCTGGTTGATTGTTTTTTTCTCCTTCTCTTTGTAAACCACATCTGTGACCTGCTGCTGAAGTCCTCATAGAGTGCAAACCTCTCAAAGAAAAGACTGTAGCTGTAGGGGAGAATCTACAAAGAAAGCCCACTGTGCACAAATTGGTCAGATACTGCTAGCAGAAAAACAAATCCGGATAATAATAATAATAGAAAGAGTCTCTCTGGTGGGAAGTAGCTATGAAGACACATTGTCAGCTTATGTAGGCCACAAATGATAGCTGATTTCAAAGCAGTCATTGTAGTCCCAATGATGAGGATGGGCTGCATCTTTAATCCCCTGGTGGGACTGCTGGCAACACTCCCTAGCTAGCCTTTCCCTCTCCCTTTGCCTTGAGCCAAGGCTGCATTCATGAAGTTCTCCTATTTCCCCTGAGGCTCTTGCATTTATTGCTATGAAAACATCAACTTTCGCCTCCCAGTTTCATCCTCTCTTGGGCAATGGCAGTAATAAGCGAATGCCCCAACAACCTCATTAGAACCAATCCCAATTTAACTGGAACAGAGCCATTTCACACAAGTCCCATCTGTGTCTCAGTGAAGACTGCTGTATCTGGGTTATCATGCACTGATCACCTTCACTTCGCTTCCCAGGCAGGAACTGCTCCTTAACAGCCTCTCATCGTTGTCTCATCTCCGTGTGAGACCCCGTGACTTTCCCTGGACAACTGAAGCCAATGCACCTCCTTTTTGGATGGGCCAAGACACAGTGGTGTACACTTTTAGGCTTTAGCCTGCTATCTGGGAAAAGGGCTTAGCTGTTGAGTTTACAGCCTGATTTTATATTAGTTTTATTCCAAAAGTGTGGTTTTGCATTTTTGTCTGGCAAGTCATTCTACCACCTTCATGGATAGTCTCTAAAATATTTAGATGTTATAAATGTATAATAAAAATTGCATTGCAATGACTCCTGCTGAGCTCCTACAGATATTAGTTCTGTATCTGTCAGAATGGTTATTTCTAAAGTTCTCTCTAGCACTAAGTTAAATATTTTATGGCTTTGGGGATTTGTTTGGAGGGTTTTTCTGTTTCTTTAAGACAAATAGTTTTAAAATGTTAAAGTATTAGAAATTGGTTAAAAAAAAAAAAAGCTCAGAAAACTCCAGATAACTGGCACAAAGACATTATTTTGCAAAACCCACTTCAGTGCTGATAAAATTTCTGTTTAATCTTATGTGTCACATATATGAGCAGAAAAATAAGATTATGTAATTTCTTCAATCAGTGCAAATCCTGTGGGTTTCCACATGCAAACTGCTTGTTGGTGAAACACAATGAAGTTACATCTTAGCCCTCTGTGTGCTACATTTTTTGCTACTCTGGTAATATACAGCTGCTTATATTTAGCTAGACTTTCTTTTCACCTTAAGAAAACTTCAAATAACAAGTCCCCTACATCTCAGAGCATCCATTTAGGAAATACATCGAAGGGAGAATGGCAGGTATGATTAAGGAAAGTAAAATGAGATTTTCAGATCACAATGAATCATAAGTAATGCACAGAGGAGAAAGCTTGCTTTGGGATATAATAAAGGTAGTGTTATTGTAAGACACTCAGGATACTCTGTTCTGTATAAAGGCCTCTCCTGTAAATTTTTGTGTAGTTTTGGAGAGCATGTAAAAGAGATTTCTTACTGCCAGCAAAGCAGTATGGTATGATCCTTAGTCTTGTATTTACAGGTTTGAATTTTAAAATTTTTAATTTTATTACATTAATAACAAAAATGGAGACAAGTTTCTATCAATAGATCTCTTACAAATTTCATTCCAGGCATTAGGAGGCATTTTAATTGGCAGCATTAAAAAATTACAATGCAAAAATATAATTCCTATACATTTTTATTAAAAGACAATGTGTCTCCACCTTGGTAGGTATGCTTTTTATTCTTCACTGCAACATGTCAGGTGGTGTCTGCCTGAAGAACTGGTACCCTGGGTATGGGTGCTGCAATGCATACAACAGCTGAAATATAGGGACAGATTTGTTATAAGAAAGGAAAACCATGCCTGGAACGAAAAGATTTCTTTGGTTTTTTTATGTTTGCTTCTGGTTTTGGGAGGAGAGGCCGAGGGAGAAAAACCTTTTAGCAACCTCCTGACTCCATTTAGTACTTCCTAAGAAAGCCTGCAGCAGATTTCAAGACCAAGAGTTTGCTAAGATTTGCAAACATTGTAAAGCTGTGATACTGTTAACATAATACTTTGGACTTTGCTGTGCTATCAGATATGCACCATAGCCCAGATCTCACAACATTGACTTTAGCAGGAGTAGTATGGGGTTCTTTGTAACTATTTCTCTAGCTAATTTAAACAAATGAGGTGCTTAATTTGCATTTGGATTGGGGCAATGGGAGTGATAAAGTTCTCCCTATGAAAAGTGTATTTGTTTTGTTCTTGCTGGGCCTAATTGTTTTTATTCAAAAATCTTTATTTTGTATTTGTCCTTACTCAGACAGAAAAATTTCTCATTGTAAATAATTTAAAGACATGATTACATTCACAAATTTAGCCACATGGTTGCAAAATGAGAAAGACGTAATATTTGGGAATATTATTCATGAACTGTCATGATGTAGTTGCATTGGGACACTTACCAGTGTAGTACCATGTTAAGATCTTTATCTCTTGCTTAGTTCTAGCATTTCTATTTTAACTGATTACATGAGGTATTTGGAAGTTGTGCATTGTGGGCACTATTTTCAGGTGCTACAAACCTTTGCCTCAGCAAGTTCTTCCATCTTGGGAAACAGTTGTTCCACGTGGAGCAGCTTCACTCCAACACCTGATAAAAACATGATTCCTGGACTGGTCATTCCCACCCACTTGAGGCAGTGGTATGCTCCTTGTTCTGCTTTTCCCTTCCTTCTTGTCCTGCTTTTCCCTTCCTTTCCCCCTCTGTCACATTCTACCTTGTTCCCCTCAATTGTCCTCATTTGTGAAACAGATGTTTCCTTGAGACATGGCATGAGTTTCAGCAACCTGTAAAAATAAGATTAATTTTCTCTTAGCTGAC